CGCCCCTCTACCCACGCGTTGAGTTTGACAGACACAAGTCGTACACTGACAAAAGTTGGTCAATAGTTGAGGAGTGGCGGGGTGAAGAGCGGGAGCGATGGTGGCATCAAAAGTTTCAACTTCTAACCTTCCCTCGAAAACTGTTTACCGTCACCTCGCCCCGTTTATGTGTTCCGAGCTTTGCAGTACTCGTTGTGGGTGGCCTTGAGTGTCAGGTGGTGTCCATACCATTTACTCAGCACTTCTCTGCTCTACACTGTTGCTAAAAGTATGAACAAGCTGTTTGACACAAGTAGCCTAAATTCCAAAAACAGTTCATCTTGGGTTTTGGCCTTGCTTGGGGCTCATCAGGGAGACATAATCCTCAGAAGCTGAAATAATCAATTCCTGAGTTGAGCAACAATCAGGCCGAATGCGTGTTAGGTTCCTGGAACCAGAGACCTGATAGAGTCCTTCGGGAGAATGTAGGTACACGGTCTAGTGAGAGGGACTCCATCGAGGCAGTTAGAAAGCGCGTTTTCGGTTGTGTAACGGGTACTTCCATGGAAGAATGTGTCCAGCACTAGGAGCTGCGTTGGTTGGGACGTGTTGCATATGTCGAACCATCGTTTGCCGAAGAGTGCTGTTCTCTTTGCCCAACTCAGAGTGGCGTAAACAGAGAGGCGGCCAACCCTTGACTTGGAAGAGGAGTATGAAGGAGATGACGAAACGCTTGGGTGTTGTCGGTTCTACTTGCCTTCCAAGATGGGGTCCGCATGATCCTCACTGTACCTAGTTGGAGACGCTGGCGCCTACCGTGCCTTGAAGAGCATTAACCAGTGTTTGTCCTTTCTTCGGTTTTTGATCTTTAGACGCGTGTTTCCATATCGAAATTTTTACATACTTTGGGATTCACCTCATCAGACTGGCACTACCCTTGGCATGATCTCGAATGAGACGTTTCTCTCTTTTCTCCCATATTCTCCTGTTACTCTTTCGCATTCATCGCTTGCACTCACTTTTTATGTTTGTGACCATGCTCTTCAAAAATAAATGATAATAATGGCTGCCAACCGATGTCAGTAGCGTTGCTGTTGTCAGTTTCTATCCAGATTGCCTGAGTGAATGTCTGGAGGTGTAGGCACCTCGGAAAGATTGAAGCTAGCACCAAGTCCCTTCCCCGTCCACCTTTACTCTTTTCTTTACAATAAGGCTTCCAAATAAATCATGGTTGTACGGCAGTGAGGAATCGGTGTTGCACACTGATGTCATGCTGTCGATGATGATGATGATGATGATGATGAAACTTTCCCTTGCAAAATTTCGCGGATTTCCGAGCATAGCCATCATGAAACCCGGTGACACTCTACGTTCGCTTATTTTCAACCCCTAAGCAACTGACCTGAGTCTCTAACAGTTTTCATAAACCGAACTTGTACCGGGAAACCTCATAGCCACCGAGCCCCATTCATTCCTGTGCGTGAATCTTAAGTACTCCATTGTACCGCGGGACATCCGAACAAAGAATGGTTAGGGTGTAGGAACGTCCAAGATGAGCTTTATTACATCCCAACTCTGTTGCCCGTTAGGTGCAGCATAGAGCAGTGGCTTTCTGGAAACACAAATTCACGACAGTTTCTGTGGACAGAAAATAGGGGAATCCCCTTGAGACGATGTCTAGGCGGCAAGGTAACCTGTTCCACCAATCCTTATGTAGAAGTCAACCTGGCCTGCAATAATCGGGCGTTTCACGTCAACATTCCTCGTGGTGGCAACCCACTTCGACCACCGGGCAATAGGCCTACTCTACGCGAACTGCAGGTCTTGACGATTCCAGGTTAGCCTTTTTTCGCGGAGACCTGTAGACCATATTCTCTCCTTGACCGATCCAACGACTGAAAACCGAGTGCTTGAAAATTCATTGGCCAAGAATGAGCTCCACGAGGACCGTCCGGTGTTTCCCTCTGTCGCTTTGGTGTGACAAGACAAGAGGAAGACTGTTCAAACAGTGCGATCTTGCAACTACATACGAATAATTGGTTGAGTCTCAGGTTGGAAGATGCCTACTTATCTGAGTTGTTTGGTTCCCCAGTTGGGGAACGTAAGTTATCACCATCGACAGCAAGACATCAGTGTTCAACACCAATGCTTCGCTACCGTATTGGAACATGAGGCAAATATGTTGACGGATAGGAAGAGACGTTCTGAAGCCGGTTTCATTCGGGTTGGCACAGGCGGAAACACCGCATGAATCTTTCCGGTGTCAGCAACAATTTTAAAAAGTTTTTCATTGTGATGGGCAAATTGTATGTTAATGCTGAAATAGGGTTTCTGTTCCTCCATCAAATTTTTACTGACGAATTCATTCCTCATTAATTGACGATGTTTCCGGAATGTACATTGTCTGGAAATCAAAGTCTTTTCGAATCACAAAGACGACAGGTTGTGAGGTACGATGCCGACGCGTGTACGTGCACACACACCCCTTGAAGAGTTTCCCAGTGCACAAGGTTCACACATTGAGGGCGTCACCTGAGCTACGTGAGCCACGCTGTTCAGCTGACGGTGGTGGGTGGCGAATGATTCCGCAACTTTGCCGTTCGAATTGCCGTGGGTCATCGTTGCACCTCATTGGTCTGGTGTTCCTCCACACTTTTGGATAATGTGGACGACATTCATATCTGCTCTGAACCTTCCAGCAGCTCTGTCAAGGCTTGACTGACCTGACAATATGTCAGAGCTTATGGTTCCCAGAGATGCATAGTTCCTTTATACCATGGGTCCGCCTGGATTTGATTGACCGTTTTAAAACGTGATGATTTCCTCGTACTTTGAAGCACCACGCTTTCGTTGAGAAACCTAATCGATCTACTCCTACCCACTTTGTTGTTCCACTATAGTAACGGTATTTTCCTCAGCTTAGTTCTCGGTCTGAGCCTCCCAAGCTAGCGTTCACGTCAAAACAACCACCAAAGGTGCACAAGATATATTAACGCCAATATATAGCGTGGGCGGCAATAACTTTCTGGAAATTCTGACGCGTTCTGGATGTGCCATTGGCAACCGACGTTCGGCCAATACTGAGTCATGATTGGCTGTTTGGTCCAGATCTTCGTCCAATCAGATCTCGGCTTGATGCCGGACCGGCAAGCATCCCGAATTTTCGGCTAATCTTGTGTGGGATGGGCTTCTCGGCCGTAGCAGCACCTGACTGCGAGCGGTAAAGCGGAACACG